ATCAGGCATTTGGCAACATGCTCAGTGAAATGATGTATAAAAGGAAAAGATCTTTCTGTTGAATCAACCATTTCAATAAGTGACTGCAACTTGGAAATATAAACTAACTGTAGAATTTTGTTGGCATCTTATAAAGCCTGCATAACATATGCCTACCATATTAATATTATTATTTAATATGCCTGAGATTGATGCATACATTCTTTTGTGAATTATTTGGTTGAACTGGTAACCTGCCAACATACCACAGTATTTGTGAACTAGGCTTCACTCAAGTGAATAGTTAAATTGAACTCCCCTCACCCCTTTAATGGCTTTAATATCATGTAAATATGCTAAACCTGGTGAAACAGGGTTGGTAGGTTTGCTGAATAATTAGCTCAAACACAGTCACAGTAGGCCTTTTGTTTTCTTTGTTTTGTAAACGGCACTAATGACGATTTGGCATAATTATTCACCTAGCCTACCAACCCTGTGGTGAAAAGCAGTTGGCATGTGACAACCTCTTTCTAATATAGTACTGTATATGCCTACTTGTGTTACACTTACTGACATCCATGATTTGATAAATACTGGAATTTGTGTGTCTGCATATAGTGCCGTAGCAAGCTCGATAATTGGGGGGGGGGGGCTATATTCATATACTTGTGTTCTGCATTATTAATTTCTTTTGAAATTGATTGTTTTTTATGGTCTGTGAACACGAATATATGAATATGAACCCCCCCCCATTATCGAGCTTGCTATGGCACTGGCATATTCTCTAATTATATGTATCTTTCTTGTTCATGCTCAAATAAAATTGCTCTTGACATATATTGCTTTAAAATATAGTAACTCTTGATTGGTATGTATATCACGTAAGATCCAATAATGCCCTCTTTGTCTCATCCCTGGCAGGGGCGTGCCTGCTTTTTCTGTCTAACATCAGAAAATTGTACTCTTCAGTGGGAGAGTGCAGACAATGAGTTAATCTAAAGCTTACCAAATTATTCATTGTCGTAAACTTGTCACAGCTTTCAGTTAATATATAGCCACCATTGGAAGGCTATTACCAGGGTGGTTGCTGTGTAATATAACAATAGCAAAACACTAGCTATCACTGGGACATTTCCTCAGTGACTGATTGTTACAGGGAAATTTGCCTTGCAAAATGGATTTTATCCATGCGAATATTTTGCCTGTGAACTTGGCAAGCAAAATGGAATGTAATGTCTCCATTGGTTATAAGCCAAATGTTATTAAGACAGGTCTTGATATTCTGTTGCACCACATAAACCATCACTTGGATAATCTATTCGATTCCTATTAAATTCCAGTTGTCCTTTCCCTTATGTCTAGGCACCTCACACCCATATATTAAAAGTTAAGACAGGGCTATTGATTTAATTAAGAAAGCGTTTGCTATTTAATAAATTTTTGCCACATCTGAGACACTCAAGTTTGAAAACTTTGTCTTTGTCCAAGGCCAAGGGATAAATTGAACAGTGTATTCCGCAATAAGAAAACTTTTATTAACGATTTTCCTTCCATACAAGCGTATTAAAACAATGTTACAAGACAAGAAGTATAAATAGTATATTACCACAGTCACAGATATGTCAACAGTTAATATATATTGACAATTTTCGTCCGTTCCTTTTCGTGTTATAGTTTCGACTAAATTACTGCACTTTCCGCTTATTATCATATAAAATGTAGTCGACAATTTGAGTAGAAATATGTATATATCAACGATAAACTTTCACTTAAAACCCTGTCTTGACATGAATCGACGGCAACGTGAATATTTTACTGCTCTGGAAAATCACTCGTTGTCTCTAAATAATCCCATTAAATCGCCGTTTCGGGTGACGATAACGTTATCACTCCTTATTCAAAGTTCCCTGTGTATATACAATGTTAAAAAGCAGGATTATTCGTTAATTTTACAGTTTTACTCGTCTTTTAAGCCATCGTGTTGAAAACAAAAATTTCTTCACTCCTTGCCGCAAGCCCTTCCTACTACCCCTAAGTTGGAGTTTGTCGAAATTTGCATGCGCGAGCCGGTATGCGCAGTGCATCTCACCAAACTTTTTCTCACCACCCGATTCCTCAGTGAGATGCCTGCGGAGGAGGCTAAGTTAATCAGACCCCTGCATCGAAACGCCTTCTAAAGGGTCATAATATTATTGAAGAGGCTGAGGGAAAGCAGAATCTCATCAGTAGCAGTGACCAAACTGTTGCTACCATTCGGCCAACAGGGGCGCAACTTGAGGGGGGGATACAAATCATCTGGATTGGCAGGGAAAATCATGCATCTGGATTGGCAGGGCAATGAAAGATTTTAAATGATAGAATGTAGAGTTATTAAGTAGATTCCAGGGCTTCCTGAGGGAATTGAATATAATTTATAGACCTAAATTTTACAGATATTGGTAAAAAATAAGGGTTTCATGCATGTTTTAACAGGAATTTGTCCGACAAAATTTTTCGACCCTTAATTGAATTGGTTTATGTCCGGAAATATTTTTTCGCCCCTTTTTTGAATGTCCGAAAATAATTTTTCGACCCCCCCCTCCCATCTCGGCAACATTTTTGGGAGAAATAGTGGCAAAATATTTTTTTGCTGCAGAGCATCATCGGCTTTCGCAGGGCAATTCTAGCAGACGCCCCCTAATTAAAAGGGGCTAGTTCCGCCCTTGTCGGCCAAAGTTAAACAGAGCATGTAGGGGAATCAGACAAAGGTGCGGGAAGAGAGATTAAAAGTGATGTTCTTGAACTTCAAAACAAGACAACTTACATTTTGCATAATTGTGCAGAAACGATTGAGCTTTGGGAAAATCAAGAAATTTTGTCCAAAAATTGTTCAGAGCTTTTCTCCAAAATTAAAACCTTGGAACTGTTTTCAGTGTCTTGTAATGTCCTAAAACTAAATGATGCTGGACCATAGCACAGAGACTAACACAGAGGTACGCTTCAGGGACATTGAGTGCTAGAATCCACTCCTCAGACCGTGTTAACCGCATTTACAGGGCACCTGGAGATTCTGGGCAAAACGAATCAGAAAGATCCAATGCTGCAATCGGTGATGCATTAATGGATGTATCCTCCTTGAAATGGCAATATTATGGGCCTCTTGATGGACTTACATCGAATGAAATTAACAATCTGACAATCCCTGAGCTTGCAAGCAAAGAAGAAGAATGCATGGAACGCAATGCTTGGAAAGTTGCCGAGGAGATAACGCAGATTAGTGATGATGAACTGGGACCGGCAGGAGATTTTATGAAGTGTTTTGTAACCCCGAAAAAGGAGAACCAGTTCTTTTTTAACACACGTCATCTTATACAATACACCAATACAACATCTGAAGCAAAAAGAAAACAAGTTCAATTCCGGGAAGTGCTTATTTCAAAACAATCTACAACTTTATGGAAGTACACTGTGAAGTTGGTGAAATGTACCTAGAATATCTGAAAGCATCACGTGAAACAAAAACGGGTAAACTATGTGAATACTGCACCGTAAATCAACGTTGCTGCCCTGACCCTAACTTTGTTCCAAGGCCATATCCTGATGCAAACGCTGATTTCCATTACCTGCTTGCGAAAGAAATTCCTACCAATAGAAGTGTTGATGATTTCCACTTACGTGTACAGATAAAAAGATCAATAGCAGAGGATAAATCGTTCTATGACAACCCAGATAATGTTACCTCATTTTCCAATAGATACGTTTTACCAGAAGAATTAGTTCAGAGATATGTTGACCACTTGAAACTCCTAGAGCTCCGACGAGAAAAGAGATCAAAAGAGAGAAAAAAGCAAGCTGATTTGGAATCGAAGAAGACCTATAACGATTACAACTGGACTGAGATATTTCTTAATGGCAGCCTTAAAAAGCTAACAAACGCTGTATTAGATAAGTTTATTGATCACCAGAGTCTAAGAAAATGCTCTAGCAAAAAGGAAAGATTTGAATGCCATTACTAAAAAGTGTAAGAACTTTCTCAGCAATTTATAGACGAGGATGATGAAGATGAAAATGGGGAGTGTGAAAGCAGTGATGTTAGCGATAGTGATGGTGAAAATCCTGAAAAATTTATCCTGGAAGAATATGTATCCTAATTTTAATAGGTGTGTCAAAATGCGCTGGCTTTCTTCTAGGTACGTGGTTTTGTTGGGGTTGAAAGAGGTCTCTTTTTGTGTTCATCCATTCCGATATGAGCCTAACTTATGTCGAGTCATTGCAGAGGCGCCGGAATATCGATAACTGGGGGGGGGCAGATATTCATATATTCGTGTTCTGCCTAATTCATTTCTTTTGAAATCGATTGTTTTTACAGTCTGTGAACACGAATATATGAATATTTGCCCCCGCAATTATCGATATTCCGGCGCCTCTGAGCCATTGCAAGTGAATTTAACAAAGTGGCGTAAACAAAATTGACACAAATATACGCGATAAAGTGGTGGTATATTTCACCTGTCAACTCTAGCTCGTACAACATTTCGACGGCCATTTTTTAAACACCAAATTAAACAAAGTACATGCAGAAATAAAATAACACCACAAATAAAGTTTTTCGTTATTTAAATCTTATCTTTAGTTTCTTATAATAGCTAAAAGTGACAAAACATATACATAAAGCAATAGTTTGAGCTTACCTTCTGATGGGTCATATCATAGAAATAATAGACATAGAATGCGTGCTCCTATCTTTTCTCAGTAAAAAAATTGTCTCCACAAAATGGCGCATTGAAAAGGGCATTTTGATTGGTCCCAGACTCCTGAGGCAGGAAATTTCGCGCGGTTGCAAGGAGTGCGGATTGTTTTTTCAACTGAAAAGCTTGGAAAAAATTTTATATCGGGACCAAAGAAGAAAAAAAAAGTGTATAAAAACCCATCACAGTGGGCTTTTTGATGAAAAGCAATAGTTCTGAACAGAATGTATGCATAAAACGTCGTTTAAAAATAAATTTTCAACGTTATGTTGTTGTGCAAGCCAACACAAAACACGAAAGATCAAGACAAACTCAATAGGTATGTTCTACAAATATTTCAACTCTTTTATAATATAAATGGAGTTCAATAATCTTTTTAAGCTTACATAATTATATTTCATATTTTTCTACATTGCTTGAGCTTGAGGCAACGCTTTTAAACCCATAGTTTCGACGATTATTTTTAGGCAATTTACAGTTTATCGACAAATAAATATTTTTGTTTCAAGAACATGAAAACACTTCGTTTACATTGAAGAAAAACGAAACCCGCAAAACAATATTAGCAAAACAGTTATGTTTAGAGCATGCAAAAATGTTTTATGAGTAAATTATATTTTCGGGAATCTACTTTGTTTTTACAAGGCTACACGATTTTCACCGTTTTGTAACTGCAAATTTACTTTCACAGTTTGTGCCTTCAAGGAACTCAAAATCTATCCCCAAACTACAAACTAGACAACAAGACAAAACGTTTTGACGATGAAAACGTAGTTTTAGCTTTGTTTATACTTTATACTTTGTAGTTTGCACTCCTGGCCAAAATTCAAAATGGCGCATTCAAAAGGGCACGCACGGTGAAAATGTGGAGACATGATTCGTCATCAGCACACACTCTCTGTCTGTTATTTCTACAGTGGGTCATCTCCGTCGCCATATTTGTTTACATTAGAACGTCTTTCCCAACCCGCAATGCCCGCATCACGGATGGTCCCATGAGATGTACTGCTGTTTCCACGCCCTCTCTCTCTTTGCCCTGATCGAGATATATCCAAAAACCGCCCTCTCAAATGCGACAAAAACGCCTATATCCTCCAAACTATAATAAAACCCCTTTTATTACGTTCGAAATATGAGTTGATCATGAGTCTATCTATCGGAGTTGAGTCAGTCGATTCTAGTCTAGCGTACTGTGAAATAAACTCGATTCCATAGCTCGATTCTTCATAGAGGTTGGACAAGCGATTAGCGGACGGTTGTCAAGTGAGCTTTCGACCAATGAGATCGCTCTAATTTCAATCGTGTTATCTGCAGGACTTGGGCAGAAAAATTTGCATTCGACGGAAAGTAAATCGAGAAAAAATATTAATATTAAAACTTTCTTGAAAAATTTCAAGTGTAGTAGTGCTACTGCTAAAGATCTGTTGATATCTGCAAAAATCTCTGAGATAAACGTTATTTCCAATGTTATTTTGATGTTTGAAGTTAGTCGACTCCCCGCGACGTGTTAACTCAAGTTTATAAATATGTTTACAATGTTTACTGTCGATACAATGGAAGTGTTGATAAAATATTGCACCAATTCCTTAATTTCCTCAAGTTGATCAATTCATTTGATAGAAAATTAATCAACTTCCTGTTACTTTTAGATGAGCCAGTTAGATTTCGTTTCAGAACCGATTGACCAATAGAAAACGCACAGGAAGTAAAAAGAAATTTGAATTCGTATGAATTGGTCAACTTGAGGAAATGAATTCATGCAATATTTTATCAACACTTCCATTGAATCGACAGTAAAATAAAACATCTACAAATCCCATCGGGTTCCATTTTTTTGTGCATTTCTTCAATAATATTTGATAAGCTCTCAGCTAATGTGTCATAACTTTCTTGTGTTTTGATTACTGCCGAAAGGTAATTGGCTTTCCACTCGCGGTCCAATTCTTCTCATGTAGGTAATATTGACTATGTAGGTAATATTGACTGGCGAACGCCGAAGGTGTCAGCTTTCCGGGGGAGGGGGGCTCGCGGGGTCCAGGGGCATGCTCCCCAGGGAAATTTTTAAATGTGAGACCTCCCAGAACCCCGGGAATGCAATAAAACCTGCTAGTTTCTCTTAAAACGTTTCTTGAAAATTAAGCAAGCCATTATATATAAGGATAAAATTTATTTGCTTAGTACATTTTCCTTGAATAGATTTTAATGCCTTATTTAGGCGTAATTTAAATTGAATTTTCCATACTTATATCCTCTACCTTTCTTAGAAATGGGTTTTTTCGGAAAGTGTTCAATAACCTGCATTTTTTTCGTGGGAATTTTGTTTGGAGGTAATTCAGGTTCCAAAGGCAAAGAATAATCAACCATATAAGCAAACAGTAAGTTGGAACGACGCTTAGCAGTTTTAAGGTTACAGAACACCTTTGAGTGTTAATTTTGCCTAAAATTTTTTATTGGTTTCCATGAAAGCATTAGACTAGTTCTACTATCTGACCAAGTTTGGACGAAAAATGTTGAAAACTCGCAGCGTTATTTAATAAAATACATTTCGCTTGCAATAAGAAAAACATTGAAAATGTAATATTCAAATTCAATTTTCTCTCGAAGAATTTTACGTACGGCAATTACTGATTTTCAAACGAGTTGTGCTCCTGCGGGTTTTAAAGAATTTTTCTCAAATTTTCACAGGACATAGCTAAAGACGTCAGTTTCAAAATTGTGTTCGGCTTTGTTCTACTTTTAGATATTTTAATACTAAGGAGCAATTCACACAAACGATTCAGAAATATATTGCAGTCGTCAAAGAAATCGCCATATCAGCGGAATAACGAAATAAACAAAAATTTCCGAACACAATTTTTTAGAACAACTATTTCACTATATAAAAATGATATTTTCATAAATATATCTTAAAACCAGCAGGAACATAACTCAAAAGCGTAAAGGTACCGCGACTTAAGATTTTCCTGAATAATTCTAACATTATTTTATTGTTTGTCAATTTTACAACTTTATCATATTTTGCATGTACTGGTTAACATTTGGTGAAAATTTGATGAAAATCGGACTGATTTTGAGCTCGCAGTAGCGATTTTCCACAAAACGCCAAAAAGGGTGTCCTGTAACCTTAATACCAACATTTTGTTTGGAATCAAAGCAAAACACGCGTATTCGCACTGTGTCTGAAGTAATATGGAGTTTCAACCATTATTTGAAACCGAGTGTCGCATCTTGGACAAGCTCCGAATTTAGTTTAAAAATGAGACCTGTTGTTTGTAAAAGCTATATGTTTCGCTGGTTGGAAATGGCCTCTATAATTTTGAAACACGCAAATCAGACATTTAATATTTTTCTGGACTACGCAAAGAAAAGTGCTATCTGCGCTATATTAAAATCAGATATGTATGAAAAATTATTTGGGGGGAAGGGACTAAAGCCCCCCCCCCCAGTCCCCCCAGTCCCTGTGAAATTATACTAAAACAATTATTCACCTAAGGTTCGGTAATTATCGTGAATAAAAACCTCGACTTCGTCACGGTTTTTATTCGCCGATAATCATCTCGAATAATTGTCCCCGGCGCGAAGCGCCGTGCGAGGGCACTAATTTCCCCCGGCTATTTACACCGGGAGAAACGAAAGCATTAGCGAAGTCTAAAGTTCATCAAGTATCGCGGGCGTGGGTGACCGTCATGAATAGCGGACACTAATTGGTCCAATTTAAAGTTTGCATTATAACGACTGCATGACGGCAGCGAAATAGCAAACATTTCTTGATTTGATGATTGATAAATTTCTTGCAAATATATTTCAGTTTTGCTCGCATTTTTGCAAGATTTGTAAATTTCAAAAGCTTTCTCACAAAGAAAGGGCGAAAGAATCGGCTAAAAGAAGGGAGCCGACGTTAACGAAGGTAATTTTTTTAAAATATTGATTTTATAATGGATTTAAAACCAGACGGCCTTTGCGTATATGAAACAACTAAACAAGACAGCATATAATTTCAGTGTATCCTTAATATTGATTCCCTTTTTTATTGTATTGAATTTTTTAAATAAAACTGAAGAAAGCAAAGTTATTTGCATGCGAGAATTTGAAATAATTTTATTGCACACTCAAAGTTTATCGATAAAGCCATTTAATTAAAGCCTGTTTAGTTTAATATAGAATACTTTACTGTCGTTCCAATTGAAGTGTTGCTCAAATATTGATTCAGTACATTACCTCGGGCTGACCAATTCATTTGAGCAAGTTCCTCGAGATATTCATAGACT